AAATGGGAACCCATTTTCATGGAATTGGGTGAATCAAACACTACCTAAATAGAAAAACAGATTCTGAAACAAGATTAGAATCTCTAATAGATATAGAAAAATAGATAAAAACGTTTAGAAAAAATAAAATAAAATAAAATTAGTAAAAACTTTAGACGTATATAAAAAAGGAAATTTATTTAGAAAATCTTTAATATATCAGCATTATGGAGAAAGATATGTTTCTTGTACATATGAAGATTAATTTACATTCCTAAATTTAATAGAAAAAGAATCTTATAAAGAAATTGTTAATAAAAATCTTCAACAGACTCGTTTAGGATTATTATTAATAGGAGCAAAAAGGCTTCTAGAGAAATTTAAGAGCTAAAGTATTAATACATTTATATGATAGCAGATTCACAGATATAGAACATGGGATTATTAGGAAGCATAGAATTATATATGAATAACAAAGGATGAACAGTATATTTTGCGCCAAATTATGTAATAAGAACATTTTTTTATAAAGACATTAAAATAGGGATAAAGAGTAAAATATATCAAATGAGAAGAGATTAGGATAATTTATTAATTTGTATAGGATTCATAGAAAAACTTAGTGAAAATAGTACTACTAATTATAAATTAGAAAATAATCAAATAATTACATTATTAGGACAAAAAGCTATAAAGGCTATCTCAGCAAAGTACCAGAAGATAATATTATGTACAAAGTACTAATGGAACTTTAAATATTAGATTTGAAAACAATAATTATCAGGCAGAACATATAAAGTATAATGAAGAAGAAAATGAAGGACAATGTGGATATTTTGAAATAGAGGACCACGAAAGTGAAGATGAGATCAATGTTTTAGATGAAAGCGAGGACGATGGAAAAAAATTTGGATATACAGATATGGAATGTTATAGAAATCTTAGAAAGCTAGAGAAATAGAAACTAGAACGTTAATAGAAAAAGATTTAGTAGACATAGAAACCCAGATGAAAGAAACTAGCAAAAGAGTTAAAATGGAAATAGATCAAGAATTTGGAAAAAGAAAGGAACTCATGAATACAGAATATGAGATAGGAGGCAAATATCATTTTTCCTTGACAAGAGACTTTGAATGGACTGATAAAAAATATAAAAATTAGGAAAAAGACAAACAGAAGAAGGAAGTAGTTTACCATTAGCAAGTAAAAGATGATTAATTTTAGAGTTAAAAAATTGTAAACCTCAAGATGGACCTAGTACTATAACAAAATTCGAAAATTCTGTAATTAGGGCATATATTAGTGTACCTATACAAATTACAGTAGAAGAAATGTGGGCGTACTTAGAAACTTATTTAGGAAAGACAACTTTAGATGTATACGTTACAGCAAAAAGACTAAAACTAGACGAAATTAGATTAAGAATGGTTGGAGGAGATAATACTACGAATTTTACAAGTTTTATTAGAGAATTAACTATAGGTTCTGATCTTAGTAGAGATAATACCTATGAACAAAATAAAGCATTAGAAGACTTAGAAAAATTAGGTATTAGTAATATGAAATTTATACAACTATTTTTTGTTAGACTTTGAAAGATTAGCAAGCGCATCAGGATTTGCATTAGATTATCCTATACATGAAAGATTATATATAAAGATACCACCACCATGGAATGATAAGATTAGAAAAGATGTAGAGTTAAACCTAACAAGAGAAATAACTATTAGTGCCACCATAAAATTCATAACTGATAAACTAAAAGAATATTATATAGAAGAAATAGTTAGAAAGCAAATAAAGAAATTAAATTATTCTTATTGCTCAGATCTATATACACCACATACCTATGATTATAGACGAAGAAAGAAAAAGTTTTTCAAAAGGATAAAAAAACATAAATATAGAAAACAATATCAAGATAGAAAAAGATATAGTATTAGACCAAGTATGACATACTATAAAAATAAAAAATCTAATTATAATTGATATATTAGAAAGCCAAAAACTAAAAAGGACTGCAAACGTTATAGACATTTTGCAAACAAATTCCCTAATAAGTATAATAATAAAGAAAATACAGTAAATCTATTATAAATGAAGAAATACAATGTAACATTATAGAATTATCTGATAATGAATCTTATAGTTCAGTATATAGTATTTATACAAACAAAGAATTAGATAATTTAGAAATAACAAGTAGGTCTGAAGATAGTCATGATAATGTAGAAGAGCTAGAATTTTCAATACTCAATACAAAGATGATGAATATAGAACAATAATGTATTCACGAATGGATTAGGGGACAATGATCAATGATGGATAAATGTAAGATATGCAAAACATACTCAGGACATAAAAATAGAAATCAATGAAAAAATTGTCTAGAAATCCAATATAATAATTTTTTAGGAATTAAAGAATAAATAATAATAATAATAAAAAAAAGACTATAGTGAAAGTATAGAACGATTAGAAAATAAAATAATAGATACATATAATAGAATAGATAAAATATATGAAATATTAGAAGAAATACAATATATGATCAGAAATCTAGAAATAGAAGAACAGTAGTCTAATTACACAAAAAATAATTATTTAAAAATAGAAAATAAAAAAGAGATAATTTGTCAAATATCTAAAGTAAAGACAATAAAAACTCTTAAAATACCTATAGAAGTACAGATAAATAAAATGATAAAACTAAATTTGATAGCTTCAATAGACACAGGTTGCACATTAACACAATTAGAAAAGATTTAGTGCCGGAAGATTGTAGACAAAAATTAGAATATGAAATAAGAGGAAGTCAAACGGATGATAGTAAAATGGGATTCGGAGAAAGATTTTTTGATGATTGTAAGATTAAATTTCAAGAAAGACCGTATAATTTAACAACTACATTAGTTAGCGCATTAATAAAAGATGAATTTGTTATAAGTATAAAATTCTTGCTAAGTAGAAATGGAATTTTAACAATTACTCGTGATGTTATAAATTTTGGAAAAGATACTTCTATTATTAATGCTATAGAATCATCAGAGTTGCGAACTAAGCGTGGTAAACCTTTATATTCACAAACACACAAAATTTGAAGAAAATTTGGATAATTTAGAATTTTTTGATAATTTATCTTTAGAAACTTTAAAACTGATTTCATACCAAGAAATAGTGAATTAATGATCTTTAACAAGACATCTTCTAAGATAGATAGTATAGACTAAATTTTAGAATTAGTTAATAAATAAAATAGATAGTATAGACTAAGATAAAAAATAAAAATAAAATAGAAGCTAAATTAGAAATCATAAATGAAAATATAAAAATTAGAACAACAGAAATAAAAACATATAAATCAAGATATAGAATATTTTAATACACAGTTTAAAGAGTTATTATATTAAAAAGTAATAAGACCATCTAGTGGTCAACATAGATCAGTAGCTTTTATGGTTAGAAATCGTAGTGAAATAAAAAAATGAAAAGCAAGAATGACTATAAATTATAAAAGATTAAATGATAATATCATAGAAGATGGATATAAAAATACTAGATAAAGATATGTTAATAAATAAAATTCAAAATAGTAAGATATTTTCTGAATTTGATTGTAAATTTGAATTTTGGCAAATAAAAATGGCAAAAGATTCTATCCATTGGATAGCTTTTACTACCCTATTAGAACACTTCTATTTTTCAAAGAAAAATGGATAGTATTTTCTCTTCCATTTGTTTGTATGTATATAGATGATATTCTAGTACATAGTAAAGATTGTAAAGAACATACGAAACATCTAGAGATAACTTTGAATAAAATTATAGAAAATGGTTTAATTATAAGTAAAAAGAAGATGGAAATAAATAAACAAAAATTGAATTTTTAGCAATAATTTTAGGAGAAGGAAAGATACAGCTACAACCACACAGAGTACAGAAAATTTTACATTTTTCAAATAAAATTGAAGAAACTAAGAAATACACACCTTTCTAGGCATATCAAATTATGCTAGACATTTTATCAAAGATTTAGAAAAGAAAATAGGACTTTTATATAGTAAATTATCCATATATATATATATATATATATATATATATAACAAATAACTATTATTTTTTGCACGGAAGCACAAGAATTGTTTGAAAATAAAAAGAGGGTAACTCTAGATCATTTGGAATCATTAACGAATTATTTTTTCTATATAGATAATTGACTATTAAATTAACTTTGATCATTATTTTCATTACGCTAATCAGTGGTGGACCCAGAGACTTCGGATTGTGGGGTCAAAAATGAATTTTTTTCGAACAACGTATCATTAACAAAAATAAATTCATATGCTACTACAATTGTAGCCTATGCGTTTTCATACTTTGAAAACGTCGTATAATTACATCGTTATCAATATCGTCAAGTACATCGCTCTCAATATATCCAACCAAACTATCACTTAACCATTGATCTCGCATTCGATTACGTAGTCGATTCTTGACAATCTTCATTGCAGAAAATACTCTTTCTACCACAGCAGTTGCAACTGGAAGAATTAACACCAATGTTACAAGCCTGTAAACTAATGGGTACACCTCATGTTTTTTCGTCACAACCAAGATTTCTGCAAGATCATTAAGGCCTTGTAACCCTTCAAAATCTTTGTGAGAGCGCATATCAATAATATACGTCTGAATTTGCTCTTCAAGTGCCAAGATCTCTATTGGTTTAAAATCTTTGAGACAATACTCACACAATTGAATTAACTTATCCTTGTTGAAAGTAGAGAATGAATTATCCGAAAACAAGCATGCAACACAAAGGAGTAAGTCACTATTTACCTCAGAGAAACGATCATTCAACTCTTGAATTTGCATATCGATGATAGCATAGAAGAAATCTACACGAAAATGATGTAGATTTGTAATTTCTTGAGTGTTACACCGTGGACGGCCTAGAGGTATAAACATATCGTCCATATTGGGAACATCAATATTGTACCTTTCGCAAAAGCAGGAAACTGTTGTTAAAAATGATTCCCATTCATTGTCCCCATTGCTTGAAATCGTTCTTTACTTATTTTCACTAATTTTATAGCGTTGACAATATCTTGATCTCTCCTTTGTAATGATTTTGACAATTCATCTGAAATACCCAATACCTTTTTCATGAGATGCAAACTGAATACAAAATCAAATGTCAACATAGATCCCAACAAAATACGTGCTTTCCCTCGCTTTCCATAACTAGTATCATCAGTGGCAATCATCTCAACGACATCAACTGTAGCAGAAAACATGATAATCAAGTTAAGTAAAGAATTATAGTGAGAGCCCCAACGAGTATCACCAGGTCGCTTAAGAGTAATTTCTTGATTAAGGCCCCTTTCCACTTGAGATTTCACCAAGATTTAATGATTCAACAACTTCAAGCCTCTTCTTCTCTCGAAAAGATCACATTGCTTAGCCGATCCACCAACAACATTTACCACGTTATTCACTAAACTAAAGAATGTTTCAATTTTTGCATGCTTGCTTGCCACAGCTACAAGAGCTAGTTGTAGTTGATGAGCAAAACAGTGTATATAAAAAGCACTTGGGTTCTCTTTCAAAATAAGTGCTTTAAGACCATTGTGCTCACCTCGCATGTTGCTTGCCCCGTCATAACCTTGACCTCTTAAACTAGATATACTTAAGTTAAATCAAGAGAATAAGTGATCAATAGAATCCCTAAGTGAAAGAGCTGTGGTACTAGAGACATGTTCTACTCCAATAAAACATTCTGTTACTTGTCCTTTCTGATTCACATAACGTAGAACAACGGACATTTGCTCCCACTGATTCATCAACAAGAATGGAAAATAACCTATCACCAATATCCCTCATAATAACATCAAATGTTTCAAATGCAATACCACTCGCAATGTCCTTTTGAATTTTAGGTGATGTTAACTGAAGGTTTTCGAGAGCATTACTCAAACAAACATCCTTAGTCTCTTTATTATGATCACATAACCACTGCAAAAATTCAAGAAAATTTCCTTGATTTCTTGAATTTTCTGATTCATCATGTCCACGAAACGAAAGCCCTTGTCGTAGAAGCAATCGAACACAATCAATTGACGCATTCAAACGAATTCGATACTCATCTTTTGTTTTTTTCGACTTCTTAAAGAGAACACAATCAATATTTTGTTTCTGATTCACAAAAGCCTCATACTTAATCCGAGCTCGATTGTGTGCATTACTACTTTTCCCGACATGAATTTGAAGCCTTTCTTTCTTTTTCCAATTTGAGAATCCTCCATCAATAAAAGAATCACCACCACCATGTTCTTCACTATTTGGTTTGAAAAGATAACAATAAAAGCAAAATATGGCATCTTTTGATATACTGTATTCCAACCAATCAGGAAAGTCATTAAACCACGAAGTTTTAAATCTTCTTAATGACGGATCTCCAAATTCTTTCTGTGGACATAAGTGATTTCGAGGCTGACATGGACCCTTTTGTATGTATGCTCTTCGGATTTCATCCTGAACATTAACATTGTAATTCGCAATTGGACTTCTTAATCCAGGATCCGAAGGTAATTCTGCTAAATCAATTTTATCCCAAACATCTCTTTGACTCCCAACATTTGATTCTATTTCTTCTTGGCCATCTTGTTTTTTTTGAACTCTCGTTTCAGAATTAATTTGCTCTCCACTTGAACATTCGAATTTTCGTTTAAAATATTTCTCCATGACTGTTAAGAAAAATAAATTCAACACAGAATCACATATCAATAAATAAATAACATATATCAGTTTTCATCAAAACATAACACTAAATTGATAATAAACAACAATTAATTGAATTCCATAAACAATTCTAAATCCCCAAGTTAGAGAAAGCCAGCCATTACTTACTTGGAATTGGAATTGGAATTGAGGTCTAACTTCTAAATTTCCAGCCTCCAGGAACTTCCAGCAGCATTGCAGCAGTGAGCTACTGAGCTCAGTACATAGTAGTCACTGCAGTGAAAAATTTTAATTTGGAACTATAAGTCTATAATTAATAATTTAAATGATTTTTCCCAAATCGTAAAAAACCAATTCCATACCATACAGTCCATACTTGATACTTCCATTATTTCATAGTTCATACAATCATACGATTCACACCAAATCAGTGAGTGTGAGTCAGTGACAGTGAATCAGAATAATGAAGATTTCATTTAATGTGTTCATCCAATTTCATTTAATGTGTTTATCCAAACCCTACAAAATTAACTTACCGAAAGGCGAAAGTGGAACACGAAGGTGTTGACGCTGTAGTGCAGAAATCGGTGGAAATTTGGAAAAGGAAGGCTTCGCCCTTCGCGCCTGTCGCCTGCGCCGCTGCTGTTTGGGAAGAAATTGATGGAGACTAGGGACTGGCCGCTGGGGAGAGTGAGAGTTGGGAGACCGGAGACAGGGGAGACGGGGAGTAGAGTGGAGTGGAGAGTGGATAATGGATTGGTCTTAGGAATTGGATAAATTGGATTGGAGTGGATAATGGATTCCCATTGGGCTTATGGGTTGCAAGGAAAAATGTTTAATTGATTGATTTAATTGGACTTTGGTACCCCAAACCCAACAAACCGTTTTAGCAGCAGAAACCACAAAAAAAAAAAAAAAAGGAAAAAAAATGTGGGGTCATTTGACCCCACATGACCCCATGTGGGTCCACCCCTGACGCTAATAGTTCAAAAAGAAACTCTGACTTACAAACAAATTGTTGAAACCCATGATATAAGTTTCTCCAGCCATAAATATATGTTACACACGTCATTAATAAAGAACTATTTGAAAATTAGAAATAAAAAAGAAGATTACTTAAGTAGACTTGTGTTAGGAATGTTTTGCTCAGAATAAATGGCTGTGACCATTAAATTCTACAAATTTTAGGTCCAAGACTTTACTTAAACCGTTTATAGACAAATAGTAAACTCCAAAGGACTTCCTGTGCACAAAAACAAACAGTTTCCTTCACAAAATTCGAACAAAATATTATTTCTGGCAGATCAGAAAAAAGAAAAAAATGAAAAATCCTTGGAAAAATCAGTTTTGTCTGAGCATAAGGCAAGAATTAGGGTACGAAAACGTAAGAATTTGAAGGAGAAAAGAGCAAAGTTGTATGTAATTCTCCAATGCATTTACGTGCTTCTTTGTTGGAGGGAAAATGTAGATTAAACTTACTGATATATGGCAACTGCATATCTCTAATCGATGTGTTCTTTGTAAGTTTAGTTTTTAATTAAATATAAAATCTAAACAAAAATAAAATGTTCAAAAAATGAGGATAAAAATTAGTGGATGAATATAAAATGATATATGTAATTTAACTTAATTTTTTTTCTATTTAAGTATAATTACATAAGTGTTTATAAATAATTAAAATTATAAATAGATATAAATGAATAATGAATAAGTAAATAATATTTATAAGTTCAAAAAACGTGTGAATAAAAAATAATTTGATCATTTGTAAACAATTTAAAAACATTAGACAAAAATGTGCTAAAAAAATAAAAATCTTGCAACATGTACATCAAGGTTTACATAATAATTTACATAATGCTATATGACACAATATTATTGGAAAGTTTTAAAAAAAGTAAACTTTTTTCACCTAATTATTTTCCTTTTACTCATCTTCTTACACTATTTCTGGACAATTTTTTCTAACAAAGTAACTTAATTCAAAAAACAATGGTTTTTTAGTTTTTCCCTAACCAGTCTATTTTATTCAAAATCAAAGACATGATTATTTATGACTGCATCAACATTGTGCTACTTGGTAATTTAAAAGGGCCACCAACTGAAAATGAAATCATGTCTCGTAATTGATTACATTAATCGATTGTTTGAGCTCATTTTCAGTCTAAAATGCATTTTAAAATATTGATTTGATGGAGAATGTGTGGTTAAGAGTATCTCTAAGAGATTTTCTATTTTTTAAGAACATATTTTATTATTTGGAGAGTATCTATAAATTTGGATAGTCAAAATTTTAAAGTACGCCAACAAACTCTTTATATTTAACACTTAATTTTACTACTCCAAAAATATTTATTATTTTCTCTATTTTTCATTTTAAGTAGTTTTTCTTTAAATTATTTTATTATTTTCCTATATTGAAAATTGAAACACTTTGAATACATTTAATTATAAATAATAAGTTAGGCTCTTGGTGAGACGACTTGTCCCGAATCACCCTAGTGGACTTGAAACGTGACATGCGCCGATGATAGAGATGCCAGATTCACCATCAAGGCTGGCTATGAGTTACTACAAAATATGCGATAAAATCAAATGTTTATATAAAACATAATGCGATGTGTCCAAACTATTTACTTCATGATTCATCACAACGTGTTATAGCCCCCGTTTGGTACCCATTTTTTTTTTCAAAATGCATTTTTCTCTCTTCTTTTCAACCACATGTTCTTTATTAAAATAATATTACACGTAAATAAAAAACTTTTCCTTATCTTTAAACCACACACTTCCCATCAAGTTACTATTCTAAAATGTATTTTTACATAAAAATGACTCTCAAAACCCCCATAATATTCAACATGTCGTGTGACTCTTATTCCGAAATCATTAGGCCCTTCCAGCTAAAAAGAATCAATTGTTACCTGTAGAAAAAATTATGGGAAAATATATGAGTTGATAGTTCAGTGAGTGAAGAAGTTCGAAAATAATATACTTTTTTAATTTTATATTTTTATCGAAAATCGAGTTCACATCATTGAATAACTCACAAGATAACATCATATAATTATAACCAAAAGTGAAATATTAACATAAGGTCGTAAAATATCATCTTAAAATCATGATATAATCTCATTACATCAAACATGCTAAAAAATCCATCAAAAAATGTACTTTCTTACTGAAATATGAAATTCGCCCCTTGGGTTAAGAACTTTCACCATCGGCCTTTGGCCCCCTCTGTGAACAAAAGTCGGTCTCAAAGACCTATGGTAATCAATTCTAGAATACGGTCAAGGCTCTTCTGTGAACTATATGTACAACATCGAGACCAATGTTAGGTCAAGACCCCTTCGTGTAGGATAGAATACGGGCCAATGCCCCTCTATGAACTGGAAGAAGTATATAATCATGTGTACTTTTCTGGCCGATCTCAATATTACATATGTCTCACATACCAAGTCATAAATGTACCACAAATAATCTTTGAAATTCCACATGTATTATAATAAAAGAGATTTCCATAATAATCATATAGTCGAACACATAATTGCACATGCTTTGATAATATACTTAATTTATAGAACTTTAAAAATATTTATATTTTTCCACTCACAGAATTATGTACGCCAAAATCAACTTGGTTGATAAGATGTCTCGATATTTGTATCGTCTCTTAAAATATGATATAATTTTTAAATCAACAATTAATTATTTTAAGTAATTTCAATAATTAAATAGGCGATGCCCAAACTGAATCATTTCACGTTTAAGTGATTATAAGTGATTTTTAAAGTCTCTTTAATCACTAAAACTATTTTTTCTTTAACTTTACTCAATTTCATAGTTTATTATACTTAATCCCTTCAATAAAATTAAATTTGATCTAACAAACTAACAACTATAAAATTAAAATAACTTGAAATAAGTAACTTTTTACTTACCTTTCAAAATTGAGAAAGTCAAGCCTAACAGTGTAGAAGAACTTATTTTCTAACATGTTGGCGATTTTTTTTTTTCCTTCTTCTTCTTCCTTCCCCCGCCCTTCTTTCTTTCTCTTTCTTGCTCCCTGTTCTTGTTTCTTTGTATGTAGTGTGTGTTATTAAATGGAATTGAAACTTAGGTGAATTAATATAAATCAATCCATTGCCTCCCTATTTTTTTAATTCTTTTTTTTTAAATATTTTGTTTTGTATGATATGTTTGACTTTTCCTCCTCCTCCTCCTCATTAAAAAAAAAAAAACACTAAATTGATGTATTACAAAACTCACCTCCTTAAAAGAACTTCGTCATCAAAATTCAATTGATTAAATACGAAAATGTTGCGGATATTGAGAACACAGTTGCTCTTCACTTTCCTATGTCGCTTCTTCTATAACATGATTCATCCATAAGATTTTAACCAAAGAAATAGTGTTACTTCGCAAGACCTGTTTCTTTCTGTCCAATATCTAAACAGGTTCTTCCTCATATGTAAGATTTTCTTTCTCTTTCAACTCCATTATTAATCTTATAGCTTAAGTTAAATATGACGTCTATTTACTAACAACCCTCGAACATATGGAATACATGTTAAACAGATACCTTAAATATCATCCCAATGATCAATATGTGATATTTTTAGCTTTTCATTTTATTACCTAACGATAATATATACACAGCTTCAAGTTCGGCTCCTTTTCGAATACAAATATACCTTAACCTCATGCGGTCAGTAAGTATTAATCTTCTCACCATGTGATGATACCACAATTCCTAAATGTTAATCCCAATATAACCAACCATATATCATGATTTAATCATATCTCTTTATCAATCTAAAACATAATCCATATTTTATCATTTCACTTAGAGAACATTTTTCTAAACCATAACATAAATCATTATCGTGAATCAATCACTTATCATCTTTAGATATAAGAGTAAGTATTTTCTCAATATTTCCTGATAGCAAAACTTTTGACATTTCTATACCCATATAAATTTTGTTCTTTCTTTCTATGAAAAGAAAATAATAACATTTAATCATGAAAATCTATAGTCTTATTCCTTAAATGGGTCGTTGATCTATCATAACAACATAATCCTTCTTGTATATCGCATAAAGACCTTTAATTGAGATAATGTAACCTAAAGATACTGTCCCACAATTGAATAAAATTTACATTCAATGATCACCCTAAACTTCAAGCTATTTGGCATATCATCCATATATTCCATAGCAAATAGATCTCAATAAAAATGGAATACTTTATACGTGAAATCCAAAAATACAATTGAAAATCACCCAAAGATTACATCACTAAAAATTCATTAAATTCATTTTAACTTCAAAATTAACTCAACACTTCCAAATGGTATGGAATATAATACAATAATCCAACAAAT